TGAGGTTGGAGGGGTGGAGGGACAGGACACCTAGTTCTGAAGGAGGAGACTGGGGTCCAATCTCTGAATCTGAAGAAGGGGGCGCTGCTCCAAGGCCCTTGGAGAGAAGTCAGAGATCCCACTCCTGGGGTCCCTGGGAGTCCCTCAATTGGGAGGGGAGCATTAGAGTGGGTGGGAGTGAGGGGACCCTGGCCTGGCGACTGGAACTGAGGGCCCTGGTCCTTACCCTGGGGTCCGGCCGGTGGGGGCGAAGCTGAGAGATGGTGCCGGTTGAGGGTCAGTCTCCAGGCCTGGGCAGGAGCATGGTGGCCCCGCAGTGGCGGCCAGGAGGCAGAGGCAGCGGCGTGGGGCCTGCTGGGCCTGGCTGCTTCACCTGAGGAGGAGGGGGCTGGGCAGGAGGCGGGGAAAGGGGTGTGGAGGGGCGGGCAAAGGGATTGGCAGCGCCAGAGGCCACCTGGCTGGTGGGGCAGGGTTTGCAGGGGCTGGACCAGGGAGCCCAGCCACCTGCCTCCCTCCAGCCTGAGGGGTGGGCCCAGGTGTGCCAGTCAGGGGAGGTGGGAGTAGGGGCCGGTTTGGTCTGGGGACACGGGTTTGGGGAGACAGAGCAGGCTGGGGTTGCTTACGAAGACTAAAGAATGGGGATATGAATTAGAGGGAGTCAGACAGAGTGCCCCAACTGCCCTGCTCCTCCTGCCTCCTGCATAGCCCCCCGCCCCCCTACCCCAGCTCAGGCCTAACTCTGTCCCTGTCCACCCCGGCCCCTTGCAACACCCCCTGTCCAGCTCCTGAACAAGGTAGTCCCTGTCCCTGCCCCGGTTCCAGGCCCTGCCCCAGACCCTTCCTCGGACTCCTCCCCCACCCCAACTCTTGCTCCAGCCTCTGACCCTTCCCAAGTCCCCTGCCCAGCCTGTCTGCTTTGCCCTGCTTATACATACACCCCCTCCCGCCCCAGCCTCCTCCCCCAGCTGCTTTCCTACAAGTCACGGGGGCTGGTTTGCTTTGGCAGCCTCTCTGCTGCCTGCAGCAATGACCTCTGGAGCCTGTAGAGTCCTAGGTAGGGGGAAGGGGGCTTGGCCCGGAAAAGGCAGCACTGAGTGCTGAGGCCCAAGCCAAGTGGCCGGAAGTGACCAATGGCAAATACACACTGTCACACTAGTGGTCAAGAGTGACCCACGTCACACCCCAGGTCCAGATAAACAGCCAGACACCTGACTGTGGACAGCCACATAAACACAGACCACAGCTCTCACCCGCTAGGCTGTCCTCGCACAATCAGACCCACCTGCTCACCCCACTCAGCCACCGCCTCCCACAGGGGACATGCTAGTGTAGACTTGGTGCTGCTCAGCCCCTCGTCTCTCTCCCCTCTCTCTCCTTCCCCCACTCCATCTCCCACCACTCCAGAGAGACCCACACTGCTGAGGAATGCGTGAAGAAATGAAATGGAGTCACTTTAGTCGGGCTGTTAAATTTCTAAAAGTCAGTTAGGTTAAGGTATAAGGAAACAATTCTATCTTTGCTTTGACTACACTTGGAACTAGAACTTTTGAACTTTTCAGCTGTGCATCAATGGCTGGAGATAGAAACCCTATAATTGCCCTCTGAAGAACTTAGGGAAGACTGTTCATGTACCCAGACCCCTGACATCTGATCACAACTCAGACCCATTCAGAAGCCAAGAATGCAGAACTGATTTTTCCCCTCAAGAATGTACTTTTTACTATAAGAACTCTCAATTTTCACCTCTTCTTGGGAACACGCTGGGTATTACACGATAGTGTTTGTTTGCAAACCCCAAACCCTTGAATACTTGGCCGTTTTTAATTTTAACAAAGCCTCCTGATTCATTTATGCTGAATGAACCAGGACCGCCCGCACTGCCTCCTTGGCTCCCTCTCAGTCCCCCTCCCATTCATGGTGACTGCTGAGCTAATGACACCCCAAGTCCCACATTAATCAAGTACTACGTGGCTGCACTTGCTGGGCTTCCAGGCAGGCCCTGAGCCTGAGACACTGCACCCACCCGCTCCTTCCCTTTTGTTGTCCCTGATGCAGATATCCGTTAATTCTGTTTCCTCAATTAAAAATGGAAATATTGATATCCCAGGGAAAACTGAGGCTCTTGGATTTGGGGGTGGGGTGTAGAGGGCGACTGGGTTCACGAGAGAGACTAGAAATCAAGTCCAAGAATCTTTATTTCACGAACAAAACTACTTGTGTAAAGAGAGACGAGGCTGTCTGGACCACTTTCTAAGTGGCCACAATCCAAGGCTGGTGAGAGGGTGGGCTGGGCAAAGTGCATCACAGGAGAGAAGACCCCAGGTCCAGCCAGAGGAAGCAGGAGGGGAAATGTCGGTGAGGCTGAAGAGGGTTCCAGAACCCCCTGCGCAAAACTGTTCTGGCCTTCACGACCCCGCTGGGCAGGGAGGGGCTGGGCCCCATAGTGCATGTCTGAGCGGCCAATGTGTGCAAATCAGCAAGAAGGAGGGGTGCGGAGCCGCTGCCCCCCTCACCGCACCCCCCCCCCAAAAAAAACCAGGCAGCAGAAGCAGGGGTGGCGGCAGCGGCAGTATTGCTTTAGCCATCATGCATGGCGAGAGTGGGCAAGTGGGCGGGAGGAAGAAGGCTGGATTAAGGGTGTGAGCTAAGCCACCTGTCCCTCCCACCCTAGCAGCTCCGCTGGCAGGACTCTGAGGCTGTGGAGGCCCAGGAATGGCCAACCCCCATTGGGGGCAGGCTTTGCCCGGAAGTTCCCCATTAGGGCTGGCTCTTCCTTGAGGAGCCCAGGGCCTAAAGGTGAGGGAGAAACAGGATCAGGGACCTAGTGAACTGACCCCGTCCCAGACTTACCAGCCCCTGCCCACACAGCCACCTTACCAGGGCTATTCAGCCACCTGGACACCCGTGCAGTTCTCTTTGCTTTCTGAGGTGATGGCCAGGTATTCCGAACTGTGGGAGCAAAGGCCAGGCGGACAGTGACCCCCTCATCAGGCTGGCCCACCGCCAGGGGACTGAGGAGGGTTTGGTCTCTGTCCCAGGAGCACAGGGCTCCGGAGTTAGAGAAAGGAGGGGCGACAGGCTGGACTCCTAGTGACCCACAAGAAGTCCAAGCTGGAGCCTGGAGTCCTGAGTCGGAGGCAGGAGAGGACTGGGGGCTCAAACTCCTGGGTCCTGGGGAAGAAAGAGGCTGGGGCCTGGACTCCTATGTCTTTGGGGGACAGTATGCTGGGCCTGAACCCTGAGTCCTAAAAGAAGTGGGGCTGAGAGTATGAGAGAGGAGGGGCTGGGACCTTTTCCCATCTCTGATAACAAATGTCCCCCTCTAGGGACAACTGGCAGATGGTGCCGGGGGTTGCTCCCCTGCTCTCCCCACTTAACTCCTGCTCCCCTCTGGGTGTCCTGGGAGTCCTGGGTTGCCTCCCCCCTCCTCACTGACCCCACTTACGCATTTTCTTGCGCAGCAGCCTCTGTGGCAGCAGCGATCTTCTTGTAACAATAAACCATCTCAGCCACAAGCCATATGGTTAACACCACGATGAGCACATACATCATGATCTCAGACACGATGGACGCCATGTCTCTGTTGGCTGCAGGGGCCAGGCAGGATGAAGTGGCAGCTGAGGCCAGGCTCAGGAGGCATGACCGCCTGAGTTCCTCAAGCTTGTGTGCCAGCTGGGACAGTGGCTCGACCTCCCTGGGCCTGGTCTGCACATGGCAATGTGGGGCTTCCCTAGTGTCATCACTGTAACTGTGGTTCGCCACCAGCTGTGATGGGCTGCAGGATCACCTCATCCTGCCTCCCTGTGTAACTCGAGGGTGCATCTGTGTCAGTCAGGTGGCTGGAGGTGCCCAAGAGCTAAAGCTCTGCAACCAGAAGGCTCGGGTTTAAATGCAGGCTCTGCCACTTGCCAGCTGTGTGACCTTGGCAAGTGCCTCAACCTCTCTGGGTCTCAGTTTCCCCATCTGTAAAAAGTTGATCATCCAATCTCCTTCGTGAGAGTGCTGTAGAATTAAAAAGGCTTTAAAAAGTCATAGACTAGTGCTTGACATATAGATGTCAATAAATGTGTTCTATTATTAATATTATTACTGTTATTATTGGGGCAGTATAGCGTAGTACTTAAGAGCAGGGGCTCCAGGGTCAGACTGACAGGGCTTTGCCTCTTAGTAGCTGTGTGACCTTCGGCAAGTGACTCTCCCCCTCTGGGCCTTGATTCCCTGTAAAATGAGGACGATAATTCTCATGCCTTCTCACAGGGTTGCTGGGAAGAGAAAATGGCAGTCAACATCCCTCAGGTGCTTGGCTGCACTCACAGACACACTGTCTGAGCACTGGCTACTGCACTGTTTCCGGAAACCCTCTGTCCTTCCACAGCACTGGCTCCTTTCATCGGGCCTAAATTTAAACTGTAACAGGAGTGCGCTTAGCCAGGGGACCAGGGTTGAAGGCCACTGTTGCATCCTGGGCCAGATTCCGCAGGTGTCTGCATCCCCAGCCCCTCCTCCAGCTGGCCAGGATCTCATCTTCCCCCACGGGGCCCATGTGGTCTTCCTCCCTGTCAGTGCGCACTTCCTCTGCTCACCCGCGCAGATGGCACTGATGCTTTCTGGGCCAGAGCGAGGGAGGGTACAGGGCCGGATGCTTCTCCCCTGCTGCCCCACAGGAGGAGGTGGGGACAGGGTTTCACACTTCATTCATTCATTCATTCATTCACTCAAAGGATCTCATGAATGCATCTCATGCAGTGAATATGTGCTCTCAGCCAGGCTCTGTGCTTTGGTCTTCATCTGAGCATCTCCCTGACTCTTCAAAACAACCCCAAAGGTAGAGACAGTTCCGGTTTCCCATGTCAACTGACCTCAGGAAGCACACTGAGTTGATTGATATATGTTTAATACAGCTCACATCACCAGAATTCTCAACCCTGCTCCAGGAACTCAACGCCCAAGTGGATTTACGTAATTCCGTACCTCCTGCTCTTCCAATCTGATGAGGACAGTGACAGACACGGCTCTATAGCTCATTTTCCAGACAAGGATTCTGGGGCCCAGAGAGGGGAAGGTGCTGAGCAAGAATGCACAGCCAGGACCGGACTCGGCACCAGGATTCAACCCCGACTATAACTGACTGCAGGGTCTGAGCTCCTATCTGCTCCGTTAAGCTTCCACAGCCAAAGAAAGACTTGGTAATAGCTGCTGTACAGAGAGTGCAGTCTCCATCGACCCATGCAGACATCTCAGGCGGAGGACCATCGTTCTCCCTCATTACAGATGAGAAAGCGAGGCAAGGGAAACAGAGAGGCTCAGAGGCACCTTCTCTGGGGAGATCTTTGATATCCTCAAAAACCCCAAATCTTATAAGAGCTTCCCCTGAGTGCCCACACAGGCCGGACTTCTCACCAGCCTCAAACACTGCTCTACCTCAAGACATTCTTCACTCCTACTGGGCACATCTGAGGGAAGAGTGAGGAAATCAACTGAAATCACTGTGCTCAAGCTGCTAAATTACTAAAATCAAGTAGGTGGAGGCAGAGGAAATGATTCTACTCCTGATTCAGCTAGCCTTGGAAACGTAAACTTTTGAACTAATGCTCACGTGTCCAGACCTACTACATCCATTATCCAGACCACTAAACACCTGGGAAATCACATCTCGGGCTAATCCAGAGGCTTAGAAGGTAGGACTGATTTTTCCCATGGAATGCACTTCTTACTGTGAGAGCTCTTAGCTTTTCTTCCTTCTTCAGAACACTCTGGGTATTGTCTAGTTGTGTTTCCAGTTTGCAAACCTGAAGACTTTTAAATAAACTTGATCATTTATTTCTAGCCAAAGACTCCCGATTCACTTACACTTGGCTGATATATCCAAACAGAATTAGCCCTCTTCTCCCATCTGCCAGCCCCACTCCCCGTGGGGGCCGCAGATGCCTCCTACCAGCTTCTGTACCTCTGCCAAGCCAGTGAAGGTCTCACCACCAACACCCACTGCCTCTCCTTTAGAAATGACTCAGTTCATTCCTTAGCAGTTATTACCAGGAAGCAATGTAGGCTGATAGGTAATGTTGAAACTGCAGGAAGAGAGTAACTAAAATAAAAAAGAATTGGCCCAGCCAGTGTGGCTCAGTGGTTGAGCATTGACCTATGAACCAGGAGGCCATGGTTTGATTCCCGGTCAGGGCACATGCCCAGATTGTGGGCATGATCCCCAACAGGGGGTGTGCAGGAGACAGCTGATCAATGATTCTCTCTCATTATTGATGTTTCTATCCCTCTCTCTCCCTTCCTCTCTAAAACCAATAAAAATGTATTTTAAAAAAAGACCAAACTAACATGAAACTTTCAACAGTTTCTACACACAGACACCAAAATAAATAAATAAATAAATAAATACAGATATGGCATGGCCAACAATGCTAATAATACAATAATATTATGGGTAGTAAAATACTACCATGTGATGAGTAAGGTTAAAAATACTACAATATGCCCTTACTGGTTTGGCTCAGTGGATGAGTGTTGGCCTGTGGACTGAAGTGCCCAGGGTTTGATTCTGGTCAAGGGCACATACCTCAGTTGCAGGCTCAATCCTTGGCCCTGGTCAGGGTGCGTGCAGGAGGCAACCAATCAGTGTGTCTCTCTCACACTGATGTTTCTCTCTTTGTGTCTCTCCCCGTCCCTTCCCTTCCCTTCCACTCTCTCTAAAAATCAGTGTGGAAAATTATCCTCAGGTAAAGATTAACCAAAATTTAAAAATTACTACAATATGGTGATGAATATAGTATAACAAGTAAAATTTTTAAATACTACAATATGATTGATATTTTAAAATACTACAGCATGGTAGGGAATGATAAAAATATGATAGTATCTATTTATATAAAAACCATGGGTGGTGTTCATCATGTCCAGAAGAACCACTGTGACCAAGTGGAAGGAAGTCAGTCCTGCAGGGGTTGTCTTGGCAATGGCTGCGCCCTCCCCCAAGCTGTTTCCCGGAGCTGTTTCCTGGAGCTGTTTCCTGTAAGGGTGGGGTTTGAGGCAGGAACCTGCCCTCAGAGCATGGAGGCAGATCTTTCTAAAGTGTGCCATGCGCCAGCATGGCCAGGGATGAACCTGAGCGGGGGCGGCTGAAAGGCTTAGAAAATACAGACAAGAGAATGAAAGCTGGGTCTTGGTGGGATGCTGCTTCTCTGAGAGACAGCGACCACATCCACAGCCATGCCTTTATTTTATAACAGATGCCACTAGGCAAAGTAAGGGTGCGACCAAGATGTTTACAACATTCTCCTGGGTTTCAATCCTACTCAACTACATGCACCTGAACTCTATCAAGCCTACATCACTCAGGCACGTGGGGCCACACGTTCGGACCATAGGTTCAAGTTTACAACTACAGCTGTTGGCTATAATTGTGCTGGGAGGGCCCTGCCCTCCAAGCTGGGACTTGCATGTGGCAATGAGAGGACTGTGCCCTCTCATCAGTCCAAAACACTGTTGCAGCTTCCCACAATAAAGTTTTAATTCTGTTTCTTTGTTATTAATGTTGTGGCCCCACTCCATAACAAAGAATAAATTTCCAGAGGATGCACTGGC